AAGGCTGCCCATTGCAGCTGGCTTTCAGTTTATGTTGCGCTGCCGGCCGATGCAGATGGCGTAAGTGTGTGTGTATGTGAGATTTGTGTTTGTTTAAAAATACGAAGAGCAGATCATGAATGTGAGCTCTGAGAGGAAGCGCCTGCGTATAAGTAGGGCTGCCTCTCGATCAGTTGAAGCTGCGCGGTGCAGTATGGTAAGTCAGAATAAAGGTTTTCAAATATGTATATAATATATATCATTTTTAAATAATAATTTTTATTATTATTTATTTTTTTTACCATTTAAATTTCCTTAGCATTAATGCAATTATTTTTTTAGCTCCTGGTAAATTTGTTGTTTTATGGTTGAACTTATTGACGCGGATATAAGTAAAATTAACAAGATGGCAAATTTTTTTTAGTAATCTGTCGATTTTTGTTATTTTTTGTCGGTCTGTCTTTTCTTTTTTTTTTGTGGAGTCCACTACTCACCGGAATGTCCTTCTGTTCACGTAAAACTCGAATAGTTCGTAGAATGGATAGCATGTTTCTTCGTGTTTGATACTGTATGCGATACCTATTTTCTTGATGCATTTGTTCCAAGATCTCCGGATTGGTAATCCGTTGATAGGTCTCATTATACATGGGGCTACGGGCGTGCAACATTTTCGTGAACTTTTTGACGCACTCATAGGAACTATTCAAATATTGTTCGCGCTCGTGGGCAGAATTATAATATTTGTCTAGCAGCACGATGGGATTATGCCGCAAAGTTTTCAGAAAGGCAATATCGATCCAGGAGTCGTTTAAATAATTTTGATAATAGATTTTTGTCTTGCGCTTGCGCCGGGCTGCCTCCAATGGTGATATCCGTACCTTTTTCTTCTCCACCAAACTGTGAACGTCGCATTCATTTAAATCCTTGAGCGTCTTCCAGCGAGTGGATGCTTTCGCTGGCTTTTCCGGCTTAAGTAGTTCCTCATATATGTTGCGCATGTTCGCCAAATTCTTCAGAAAAAACGGCCTCAAGCTATCGCCCAAATTATCTTCAAAGTTACTATTGACAACTAGCAGGCGGTAATTGAATGGCAACTTCTTGGTGCCCGAATATAAGCGCGCATCGTTATGCAGCGACATTTTGTTCTCTTCGAATTTATTTAGATCATATAGCGCATCAGCTATTTGAAGATTAACAATCGCACTCCACGGTGCTATCTTGGCTGCCTTTCTGCTATCGTCCAGTGCTTCCTCCGCCTGGGCTATCCGCCGATTGAAATTACTTCGCAAACAAAGGGTCAAAAAGTGATTGTCGTCATGCTCATCAATGCACTTATTAAAATAATGGATAGCGGCCATATTGTTACGATTCCGGGCGTAGGTCAGGGCCCAACTACGCCAAATGGAGCGATGCAGTTGAGCCGGCCAGCCCATCACCTCCCATGGTTGCAGACGTGGCACCAAGGCGGCTGCAGGCGCCATCACGCTCGGATCAGATATTGTGGTATTCATTGGATCTAAAAATAAAACACTCAAAAGGTTCAAAGAAAAAAATTGAACAGCCTAAAAAATAAATAACAAAAAAATGTAGAAAACCGCTTTAAACGAAACTAAAATCGAGTTTAATATAAATTAAAAGTCCACAAAAATATCTAAAATCACAAAAAAGTCTATGACAAATATTTCCGGAATGCTTCGGTAAGCAACATTGTCAATTGGATGAAACTAATTGTCCGGACTGACTGACCGACCATAGGGAGCTAAGTATCTAATATTTGTGGCTTACACGCTAGGACGCGGTCTTGGCAATCCACCAGCGACTGTGGAAAATTTCCCATCCAATCGGTTTCAATTTCATTCTCAAAAGTCTATCTGAAAACTCAATTAAGATGTTGTCCACTGGGAGGAAAATGCAGATCTAAATATAATTGTAAGTTTTGCTAAATATTTTTGTCTGGCAACGCTAAAATTTGGCGTCAAACATTACAAAGTTTCGAATTCAAATTGAAAACATTTGTTTTGTGGTTCTACTGGTACACTTAATTGCAAGCTGAGCAGCAATATAACAAATTTACAATTGCTAAATCAGAAAAGGCGCATAAAGCTAATCGGCGACAGCGACAGCCCCAAGCTGCGACTCAAGAAGTTCTAACAAGGCAAAAATCCGCAAGAATATCAATTTTTGTAAAGGTTCATTGGACTATAAAATCGAGTTTTTAACAACATTATGAAAAAGTAGCCTAAAATGTGTAGCTCAAGCTATATTTGGCAAATTGAACTGCTGAACTTTGAGAGGCAGCAGATAATCACAAAGGATGCCATACTTTTACAGATTTTTTTTTATAGCCCTGGTATTACGCACAGTAGCGTCCGCCCCTCTTTTAAGTTAATTTGTAGTTGCCACCTAGTTGCGAGTTGCGAGTTCAGTGTAAATGGCCCATAACTGGTAAAAACACAGCATCAGGTTTGACTACCTGCTAATCCCCATGCGCTTTCGTATTACCATTATTATTGTTTAGCAAGATCATCATCTAATACACTTTCTAAAAATTTGTATATATTGAAACTTTGTAAAAAACCACAACAAAAAAAAATATTTTTTCTAATTTGTATGCAAGATTTTCAACAAGTTCTCATAAAAATAAACGGCTCGCGTCTACTTATTCTCCTCGAATGGATCTTTGCGTATGTACTTGTCCAGTTGGTCACCAGCATTTGGCTCCAGCTCTGAAAGCTCTGTGAAGCCCTCCTCGTCAACAAAGCATATCTCATGACCATCGGGATCGGCCAAAATGAGAACCGTAACCGTTGCCTTGCCGGGGGTATCCAGTGTAATCAATGGCTTCAGTATGGTGCCGCCCGCTTCCGTTACGGCATCGAATAATGGTTTCTGCACAGAGCCGGGTACTGCAAATGCAATGCGCCCATAGGCCTTGGCTCGGTTAATGGGCTTATTTAGAAGCGTGAGGCGCAGAGACGTCTGCTTAGCATTATAAGTAAGCAAAATGGAATTATCCGTCTCATTGACCAGGTTCATGTTGAGCAGCTCGTGCCAGAATTTACGCGTCGCGGCCAAGTTAGTAACATTCAGCTCAACCTGCTGCACTGGATCTGAGCTGGCAGTGGGCGATGACTCCACAATATAAAAGTTATAACCATCTGGCGAGGTCAGCACATTGCTGTCGCCCTGCTTGGCAACCGGATAGGAATTCTGAGCGGCACGCGCTAATATATCCTTGGAATAAATTGTAATGCCGCCAAAGTCGTTGCCTGCAAGATTTCGATTGAGAAGATTGAAATTTGTCTAACTAGACGCAGTTACCCATCTCGTAGCTCTTGACGCCATAGTTGTAGGTCAGCTCGATGACAAAATGCGTATGCTCCGGTCCATAGCCAACCATGGTCTTACTCCAGCGATTGTCATAAGGCCTGCGCACATGGAAAGTGGTGACAAATATAGATTTCCCTAAAGCTATGTACACACAATTTCCAAACACAACTTACCCATTGCATTCCGCATCGCAACCTTCCTTGAACTCCTCATGCCGCAATACCTATTCCAGTATTGAATGGGGAAAACAATCAGAATTTAAACGCCAGCCGGTGCTTATCTTATTTTAGTTTAATACGCTTCTGGCATTGTATTCACTTGCAAAGTGCCATGTCATTTTTCTCAGATAATTAGATATTCTAGGTAATTGCCCCCATATACATATGTACAGTGCATACAGACACACACATACGTTACGCTTATAACCGGGTTCGCAAGTTAGCCCCAAGAAGTACCTCGCCTGTCCTTCATATTACCTGCATTCCCAGAATGTTTCGAAAGAAAAACGCATTCCTAGCACGGTCGCCAATCTTAAATACGTAGTGTAGAGCTCTTCCCGGTATAGCCGTCATATTGCTTTGCCGCTGCACGAAATTTTAGATGTTTTGAAAAGCTTATAAACAGAATTAGAGGTGTGCGATATTTACGCACCTGTTACTCGAAACTGTCATGCTATTTAGTCTGTTAAGTTTAGGAGCGTGACTGTTAAGTCGTAAGCAAACTGTTAAACGTGCAATAAATAACAGACTGGCAACGCCAAAGACCAATCGGTCTATACAATCAATATTACCGTTAAAAATGATTTGCTTATTAATATTAGTAAAAAAAAAAAGAAAGCACAACAACAAAACAATGTCTTTCATGCAGGATCCTTGACAAAACCATAGCTTATACTGTTGATATGTGTTCTAGTTAAAGAAACTTGTAAAAGATAAAAAACACATTTAATACTAACGATTAAAAATAATTTAACAGTTATTTTATGTTTATCGCCATTTAAAATTAAGGTCGATTGATGTTGACTCATGAGAACTTCAAGAACTGAATGCTTATGTTTGAACATGGTTCATATTGCTACGAATTCTTTTAGCGTTTATTGACCAGCGGCGGCATTACGGGCTCGCAGTTCACGATTACTTTGCAAAATTTCCTGACAAATTCGTTTAAATGTATCCGTTATAGGTGCCTTCAAAATGCAAGTAGAGCAAATCTTTGAGTCATTTTCAATACGGCCCCAGTTAATCCAGGCAAGTAAGCTGTCCGCCAGGGTGGGTTCCCCTGCAGGCTGTCGCAATCGCTCATCGCACAGATCCACAAGTACGTTAGTGGTGCTAAGGCAAATAAAGCAAATATTTCCTAAATCCATGTACATTTCCATATTTCAACTGATTAGTCAATATAATTATCTAAACAGTTTGCCAGATTAACAGATTTTATGTCGAAATTATGCAGCGCTGCCAACTTAACTAGATTGGCTGTGCTACTTTGATTTGATTTTGCTTTCAGTCTGGCAGCCTGATCTCAACTATCGATAGCTCTGATAAATACAGCAGCTGTCAAATCACATCGCTAAACAACTGGGCCTGTTCTTGTTGTGTAACTGAAACGCGTATTTTTAATAAGTATAAAGAAATTACCAACAAATATTTAAACAATTATACAGCCCCTTTGTGTACTTGCAGACGCCCACAATGTCAGCAAGCGCCGCCCGAGGCTCAACGTCCCTGCTCAAGCGCGCCTGGAACGAGATACCCGACATTGTTGGCGGCTCGGTATTGGCTCTTACAGGCATCGTCATGGCTGGCATTGGTCTCGCCAACTACTACGCCAAGGATGGCGACAATCGACTCTACAAAACGGGCTATGTGGTCTTCCGTCACGATGATCCTCGTGCCAAGAAGGTGCGCAACGACGAGGACGACTAAGAAAAGTGTGCGATCTGATTGTTTTCATCCTTTTTTTTTTGCGCCGCAATATAAATAACTAAGTAAAACAAAACAATCAAGTGTATATAACTGAGCTCTATTGTCCTGGCGTATAGTATAAGAATTGAGAGTTGCGGTGACTGACTTTATGATGCTTCTGGTAGGCCGCAAGCGTGTGATAGCACTCATCACATAAAGCGCACTGGTAATTGATTGTCTGCGAAATTGCCTCATTGTTCTTTGTGGCAAGATCGTGGTCCATATCAGTTGTATTGATCAGTGTCCCGATCTCCGTACCTAAAAATAGCGCGCACATATTTAATTGGAGTTTCGTATTACCTCCGTGGTCTAAACATACCCTCATGTGGCTCGTGCTTGAACACAATATTTTCCGCCTTAATACCAGCGGTGTCTGCTGCAATGGAGTCAACGTTTGCATCCACAGTCGTTACTGTACATTTAATTGGTATCTGCTCGCCCAGTGTCGTCATCGGCATTGGCTGTGAAAGTCGGGAACGATTGCGGCGCTGTTCAAACTTTAGCGCCACGTTGAACTCATTGTTTGCCGTTATCCATTTGTTGTTGAATTCGTATATCATAATCAGTTTTTTGATACAGACACGGCATATCTGCTTGGGATAGTCATCATTCTTGCTCAGTGCTGGCAGCGTCGCGGACGTGGGCATACATGTGGATAAAAGTTCCGATATTGGAACGCTCTTTTCCAGCACCGTCACCCCGTCCACGAATATGTTCATTGCGTCCAGGCAGTCGTTGCCGCAAGTGCGACATATATTTTCAAATATATCCATGACAAATTGGATGCAGTCTAAATTTTATGAAAACAATTTGTACTACAGATTTCTGTTGGCATCGTATTTCTCCATTTTCAACATTCTTCTTCTTTATTTTCTGTTTGTTTATTGCGCGTTCTTGGCAAAATCACGGTCGGGTAAACACACCGGCTTATAAAATCCAAGCAATCGAATTTTAGAGACGCCATTTGTACGATGAGCAGTGTTAAAGAAATATCGATACTATTGAATCTCGCGATGCTTATTTGCACACTGCTAGACTTGTGACGCTCATCTCTAGTGTTGGTGCATTTTACGAGGTTGTAAAAACAGCAATGCAACAAAAACGAATTTTCTTAAGCGTTGTCATCTTGTTTCTAACCATAAATCCAGTCACTTATGCCATACAGGCTCGCAGTGACAAGGAGCAACCGCAAACGGTTGTCTCCGGCACGGCTGTGCAGTCGGTTGTACCCGTGCAGGCACAGTCGCCAGTTGGCTCCAGTTCACAAGCAGCTTCTGCGTCCAGCTCGACGTTCAATCCTTTGGGACCGAATGTAATGTGCTCGTTCTTGCCGCGCGACTTTCTGGAATGCAAGGAACCAATCGATCATCGAAATAACGAAACGGCTAGAAAGGAAAAGGGCTATGGCTGTCTTCATTTCGGTGGCTCCTTCTACGAGGATGTCGAGCACACAAAAGTCCAGTGTACAGTCTACACGGATATCGACTGTTACGGGGCACGCACATTCTTCCGGGACGGTGTGCCGTGTGTACGTTATACGGATCATTATTTTGTGACCACGTTGATCTACAGCATGTTGCTGGGTTTCTTGGGCATGGATCGCTTTTGCCTGGGACAAACCGGCACCGCAGTGGGTAAACTTTTGACAATGGGCGGCGTCGGTGTCTGGTGGATCATAGATGTGATATTGCTTATAACGAATAACTTGTTGCCCGAGGACGGTAGCAATTGGAATCCGTATGTTTAAACTAAAGAATAAGCCCTTGTGATAATATTAGTAGTACAAGATTTGTAAATAAAATTAAATATTAAGACAATTTGGATAACGGTTGATTGCAGTTGTTAGAATTTGATGAGAAAAGACAATTTATCTTGTTTTTCTTCAATATATTTCAATTTTACTTGACTGTAGTGCCCAATATAGGGGCAATACACAGCCAGGGAACATAATGGTTAACAGACTTTTGCTGTAGGTACACAGCGTTTTGAAAAATTACAGCTGCAAGTGTAGAAAGTTGGTGATAACCCGTTGCATAAAACTTGATCTAGTTTTTTCTATGGGCTTCAAATTTAAAGATTCATTCGAGACTTGTCTAGCAACTTGTGGGCCTTGGTCATTGCATTTATAATAATAGTATCGATGTAACCAGTATTGCTCGATTAGCAGAAAATATATCGATAGTGCATCCGCATCGCTTTTTCCATCACTACAATGGCCGCTTATCAGCCACTTTGAAGTGTACAACGCATATAAATCGTGTCGAACTAAATGCTTCAACAGTTTGCTCTTGCGGCTGGGGATTGCCAGTCAAGAAAATAACAATTCTAAAGCCAACGAGCAGCTAATTACAAGCACAAACATCTATAAGCAACGACAACTGTGTATATATATACATACCCAAACGATTAGTCGACTGTTTCTCTGACAATTTTTCAATTGCGTTGTCAGCGCCATTTTGACAATTAGGCAGCTGGAAATATGAAACTTTTTCTACTGCTGGCCCTTGTGGCCATAGCTGCCGCAACAGAGGATGATCTGCACATGCTTAGCGAAGAATTTATGGAGCTGGTGCGCAGCAAGGCCAAGACATGGACGGTAAGTGTCAATATTATTTGGTTTAACCTTCTGCTGACGTGACATAATAATATAATATAATTTACATTTTAAATAACAGGTTGGCCGCAACTTTGATGCAACCGTATCGGAACACCATATACGCGGCCTGATGGGCGTACATCCCGATGCGCACAAGTTTACATTACCCGAAAAAAACCAAGTGCTGGGCAATCTTATAGAGGAGGATGGCGGCGATCTGCCCGCAGAGTTTGATGCGCGCACTGCCTGGCCCAACTGTCCAACGATTGGCGAGATCCGTGATCAGGGCTCCTGCGGCTCGTGCTGGGCTTTTGGTGCTGTCGAGGCCATGTCCGATCGTGTAAGTAGCGAAGACCACACACAAACAAAGCAGATGACGCAGTTGCCCGATGCTTATCGAAAGTTTGCTTATCGATTTCACAAAATTGCGTTGCAATTTGTGTATGGATTTGTGTGTGTGTGTGTGTGTGCTCTTTGTTTAGGCTGAACATTTTGCTTACTTGTTTTTTGTTTTGTCTAGGTTTGCATACACTCGAATGCCACTGTTAACTTCCATTTCTCGGCCGATGACTTGGTGTCCTGTTGCCACACCTGCGGCTTTGGCTGCAACGGCGGTTTTCCCGGCGCTGCATGGAGCTACTGGACGCACAAGGGTATTGTTAGCGGTGGCTCTTATGGCTCTAAAGAGGTAAGCCACCGTAGACTAGCGCGTAATCTACAGTCAGCCACATTTGTCAATCGGCTTTTTTTGTATCTTGCAGGGATGCAGGCCCTATGAAGTTGAGCCGTGCGAGCATCACGTAAACGGCACACGGCCACCCTGCCACAATGGCAACACACCCAGCTGCACGCACAAGTGCGAATCTGGTTACTCTGTCGATTATGCCAAGGACAAGCATTTTGGTGCAAAGGCATATTCGATCAATCGCAATCCGCGTGATATTCAGCGCGAAATCATGACTAATGGACCAGTGGAGGGTGCCTTCACAGTATACGAGGATTTGATTTTGTACAAGACTGGCGTCTATCAGCATGTCCATGGCCGGCAATTGGGCGGTCATGCCATACGCATACTCGGCTGGGGCGTTTGGGGCGAGAACAAGGTGCCATACTGGCTAATTGGCAACTCGTGGAACACCGACTGGGGTGATAACGGTTTCTTCCGCATATTGCGCGGCGAAGATCATTGCGGCATCGAAAGCGCCATTTCCGCGGGTCTGCCCAAATTGTAAGCGCTCCAAATGTCAACCAATTGCTTTTATTGCCTATTGTCTATTCGTTTTAAATGATAATATACGTTTTCAATACAGTTATATCGTATGTGTAAACAAGTAGTAACGACTTAGTAAATAAATAATAATAAATAAAACTATTAAGTCTAACATCGAATTTCAGTGGTCTAGAAGTTGGCATTAAATTGCCTAAGATGAACGTGTCAAATTGTGTTCAAATTGTTCTTTTATGATTTATGTATGATCATCAAAATGTTTTATTTTAGCTATAATATTAGCTTTGAATATGTGAGCAATACGAGCGACCCGGTATCAGTGACGCCCCTGCTCTAGAATATTTGCAGCTGGATGCATACTCATCCATGAAGTTCTGCCCACCATTCCCACACATTTCGGATTTATATCAATTATTATTATTATTTCTGGTCGCTGACACTCACTCATGTGATCCGCTGTGGGGCCTATCAGCATGAAACCAGCGCAGTACTCAATCAGTCGGTCAATTAAACGATTCGCTGGTTGCCCCAGACACGAACTCTGATTTTCTTTGTAGTTCAAACACCCCCCCCCCCCCCCACCCATACATGGCATACAAAAGACCGTTGGGTTTTTTTCACATATATTTTTTGGTTGATTTTTATTAGTTTTTTTTTTTCATTTTTAACATCAAATAGAACATTTTGGTTTTTTTTTTTTTCCATGAACTTTTTTCTGGCTTTAAATGTATACACTTTATTTAGTTGGAACTGCCTATTGCATTCGCTCTATTCCTCTCCTTCTCTCTATTTTGCGCAGGACATTTAAGAAACAGCTAACATAGATCGAAAAATAGTGTGGACAGCAATTTGAAGCACTTTGCGAAATTCGGAAATATGCTTAAGTTATTCTTCTTCTCCCTACACTCTTTCTGTATCTGATTCTCTTTAGAGTTTCTCTCTCTTTTGCACTTTTCAAAAAGTTGTTTGTTTTGGAAAATATATGTATGTAGATGCATCTGTTTCGCACACATTTAGCTGCGTCTCGCTCTTTGCCAACATTTTGAATGCAGTTTTTAATTGTTTTTGTTGTAAATAGATTTCTTCTGGATTGCTCCACTTATTTTCTGCTCTTATCTTTTCATATACATTTATTTTTTTTCTTAGCATTTGACTAATAAATACATTTATTTAAATGTTTCCTCTCTGTGAAGTTACACATATGTAAGTATGTATATATGTATATATATAACTAATGCATGTTGTTGGACTTTTGCACTTAATGCAATATATGCATTTATATATGTACTTGTTTGTATGTGTAGCAATTGTCGCACAAACACATTTGCAGTACATACATATACATTTCACAAATAAATATATATAAGTATATGTATAAGTAATATTACGAGTTGAACGCTTGGTTTTTTCTCTTTTGAATTTGCTTTGTTGTCATTTGTTATTCTGTTTTGTGTTTTGCTCATGAATTGTTTTTTCTTTTCATAGATAACATGCATACTTAGCTGGGGCTTATCAGCTAAATGGTGGGTTAAAATATCAATATAATTTATACGGTTTTTATTTTCCAGCTTGCCGTTCGTCCTTATAAAGCATTATTAGAATAGGACTTGAAGCGTGTTGAAGGTTATGTGTTCTTTTTTTATTGAGACTTTTTGACGAAGTGGGAAGGAGAAACGCGCAAAAAATATAGGAATCAGTTGTTGGTTCAGGCTTAACTTGACGAAAGCGGCAACAATTGTATGAATCATTTTAACGTTACACAACACTTATTTTTGGCTGTCATTGAATTGAACTATTTTTGTTTATAACTGGAGACATTTCTGTTCTGTATATCTTTTTCAGCCCGATAATATCAATGAGGCTTAACTTATCGGATATTTTTCGAATTCAAATTCAAATCGAGGAACGTATTAAATGTATATTTTGGAACACCTGGTTTTACATCAATTTTATTTAACTTCTTTTTTTTATTTCTAATCATGCTCATGTTATCGCTAGATTTAAATATACGTATATTATAATGTTATATACCCATTTTAAACTCTTCAATTTGCAATATAGGAATTATATACTTAATAACTCAGTTGAATACTTGAAAGTAAACTGATCTGAGCTTATACATGCTTTTTTTGGGTCCATTTTGTACCGTTTGTGTTGGCTGTGTTTTCAAATATCTATTTGTTAGTTTTTCATGTGTGGACAATGTATAAATATGTAATATTACACATACATAGATGCCCTTGCTTCATCAGGTCGCATTGAGTTTAGGATTGGAGATTCTGTCAAAATTGTGTATATATGCATATATACATATATATACTATGTACTCAATTATTGTTTATCACAAATGAGCGCTCTTTTTTGATTATTTCTTTTTTGTAATGTTGCAATGTTAAATCCGGCTTATGGGTAGATAATTCACATATACGCATTAGCTATATACATATTCATGGGTTACGAGAATAACACTAAATGCTACTGAACTTGAACAAAATAAACAGCATAATTATACACATACATATATTTAAGTACATATATATGTTGCATTCATAAATTTGATTACAAATATTTTGCTGTTGATTTTACGTTTTTAACATTTTTATGATATTCTTTTTAATGTACACTCAAAGAAAATGTGTTCTTCAAATTTAAAAAAAAAAATGACATTTTCTCGTTTAACAAAACTATCCAAAATGAACACATAATTTTTATGACAAGAAAATTTGTTTGAAATTAAAAAATTTTTTAATTTTGTTGATATTTGTTTAAGTTTGGGAAAATTCAATTTTTTTAAGTGTAGTACAAGTGTGGTTCTTTATATATATATACTTTTTGATGTTGCACATTAAACGTATTTCAACAATACAATAATTTTGAATAGATTTTAGAAATTTGTTTTTTTTTTTTTTTTTTTTTGGTATCTGCAGTAGCGAAAAACTATCACAATTATAGAGAATTCTTACGTGTTTCCTTAGGGATTACAAATAGAATCGGATTGTTTTCTTTTGCATTTGGAACAAGTTTTTAACTTTACACGCACATACACACACATAAATAGAATCTTTTTCCTTTTGAATAAGTTGATTTTTTTCGGGGTTTAAATACGTTTTCGGATGCAGCTGGTTTAAGTTTTTTTTTGTCTTTATATTCTTTATATTATTATTTTCAGAAATATTATTTTGTTTGGTTAAAGAAATGCATTGAATTTGCGATTTGATTTTGCAACGCCGACAATGAACCCAGCGACATTAAGTAGTTTATATAGAGATCTTTAATAATACTCGTTTATCTTATCTCCAAGTTGTACTTATCTCCCAGTTGTTCTTTGTCCTTCAGTTATACCACATTATTGAACTTTGTTCGCTTGCATATGTTAAACGGTTTCATAGAGTAAATATATAGAGTTTTTCTTCTTTTTTTTGTAGTTATTTTTTTGTTATACAATATATAGCACATAAGCTTGCAGTACCCATACTTAAAAGTACGTCGACTGCTTTTCAAAATTTTGTCAATTCAATTTTTGTTTTTGTTTTTGTGTGATTCGTGATTTTCTTTAAGTGGTTTGAAAAACCATCAAACAACAGGAGGAAACAGTCTTTCTTTCCAGGTACCTGAGAAATAGATTAAAAATAGGTTTTAATTAAACTTATTTAAACTAAAAAAAAAAACGAGGTTTTTTTAAACTAGAGTTTATTTTGGAAAAGTATCTATTCAGATGTTGTTTTTAAGCATTTTTTTTTTAGACTCTTCTAAGCTGTTTCCTAAAAAATAATAATTGACTTTTTAACATTTTACATTCGGATTTGAAATTTTTTAAAAGTTTTCCGCATAATTTCGTTTCACTGAAACATAAATTCTTTAAGCTATAGCTTTCTATCAAATGCTTAATATATGTAGATAGATATTTCTTGGTAGATAATATAGTTTATACATATAACAGTAATTGCAACTAACTGCAATTGATCTCGTCTACTCACCGCGTGACACATTTGACTTTTGTTATATGATGTACAATTGAGTTTTTTTTTTAGGCTTTTGTTTTTTTTTTTTTTTTTAATATTGTATTTTGTATATACACCATATAATTTGCTATATATTGCGCATAATATAAGTGTTTTATGTTTTATACACAGATGTAGTTTATGGTGGCATCGATGCTGAGATGTTTTGTTGTTGTTGTTGTTGTTGTTGTTAAACTGCAACTAATGCTGATCCAATAGTATATAACTAAGATGGTAATTGGGTATTGTTGCATGTCATCTAAACACGTTCGAGAAGCACTTGTTAGGTAGGTTTACACATTTATATAGGATGCGTACAAGTAGAGATATATGTATGTATATATCTATATAGTTGATTGCAAGTTGCATGTGGCTTGTATTTGTGGGAGCTGCTGGTTGCGTTTCTTATCGATCGTTCATATATAAACTAAAACACAATACTCCTTAGTATAACGCACGCGCGCTCTTTCTTTCTCTCTGTCTCTCTCTCTCTCTCTCTCTCTCTGTGTGTCTCGCTCTCTCTTGGCTTAACTCCCTCCTGCTGTGACCTAGTGATGGCTCAGATAGGTCTTGCGCTTTAGATAGCCGCTGCGTATCGGTGATGAAAGGCCCGTCTCGTTGCTGCACATTCAATACGATGTCAAGGTGTTGGGTTTGTAGCATGTGTGTGTGTGTGTGCGTGTGTGCGTGTGTGTGTGTTTGGTGTGTTGATTTGATGTCAAAATGTTTCATATTAGAATAAAGTTTAGTTTTTTTTTTTGGAAAAAAGACACAGAGGTAAAGTTGAGTGTAAGGTTTCAGTTGATAGCGCTTTTCCAATTTAATATATATATATATAATTTCTTATATATATAATTATTATTATTTTGTAATTTGTATATTGCACAACACAGAATTAATTTAAAATGCTCAGCTAAACTGCATGAAAAGCATATCAAACAAACCAACTCAACTAAAGAAATTATTCAACTCTGAACTCTTTTGCAACTGTTTTAACTAAACAACTAAAGTGTTGGCAAACGTTTTAAACTTCATTTGTTGGTTGTTCATGCAGCCTGTTTCGATATACATTTACATATATTTG